GAAAGAAAAATAAGCAGCAAAAACAGATGCACTTTTAGGAATAAGCATTACATTATTGCAAATGTCCATAGTAAGGAATGGCAGGATAGGATAATGGATCCATCAGTATTAGAAAACCAATGATGGCAAACCTATGGCATCACAACGATCAAGTCCAGCCTCAGACTTTGGTGGAGTTGGTGCCACTATCCTCAGGGTAAGCCAGGGAGACAGGTGTGGAGAAGCAAAATGAGGAAAATTGTCAACTGGGGCAAGGATTAGACCCTCACATGCAAGTATAAAAGTAAGTCTGCATGAAGGAATAAAAGGGGCAGAAAAGACACAGTATCAGGAAAACCAAGGACAGAAGAGGGATCACATAGTTGCTGTAGTAAGAGGAAGAAAAGATCAGATAGAATGAATGGAAGAGAAAGGGGGAGGCAGTCAGAAAAGCAGGGGTCAGAAGTGAGGGAAGGAAAGGAAAGGCTCAAAACAAAGAGAAACTAAGGAATGGCCAGAAGGAAACAAAACAAGAAAGATTTACTGTATGGAGCAAATTTTGAACTAATGAATGGAAATACTGCATATACAATTCATAATTAACCCATGGAACTCATTGCTACATGATGATGCTGAATCCAAAATTTTCAAACTAAAGTTAGGTTCTTATATATTGAGCAGCTAGCAGCTAAGGTTGAAACACTGGGCCCAAGATCTTAATGGATTCACAAAAATATTAGAGATTTATATGTGGAAAGCTAACCTCCACAGGCACTTTAGATTATAAAAAAACAAACCTTATACCTAAAGATATCAGCCGAACACTAACAGATGGGTCAGAAGAGGAAAATTCTGCAGACAGGTTACAATATAATTATTCCCTACAGAGTTTCATTTTCCTTTCTCTGAGGCATCTGGTGCTGACAACTGTCAGAGTCAGGATACTTGGCTAGATGGAAGTTAGGTCTGAACCAGTATGCCACATTTTATGGGCCACATCATCGTCTTCTGCAGTAAATCATTTGGCAGAGACTTGAGAGGATGAACTTACTTTGAGGATTATTTTATGCAGATTCCCCCTCATTGTTCCATTGAGGGGAAGAGAGTGGGCTTGCCTGGTTCCCGTAGAGCAGACTACAAGGCCTGCCTCCTAAGCTTGGGGGATCCTGCTGGAATCCAGAAACCATCACAGATGGAGTCGCAGCACCCCTCGCTCTTGGTTCCCATTGTAGCATCACTACTAGACTCTCTTTGGCTGTGGCTGCTCTGGGGCCATAGGGGTTAAACAGAAAGATAATGCAGCCACAGAGTGTATTATCTCTAAGTTTCATGAGCTGCAGGGGGACAATGAATGTGAATCCCTTCTCCCAGCTTTGGCCTGTCACTTCTCCTTCAACTGAACAGGTCTTTCAGCACCTGCCCGCCCTGAGCAGTCCCCAGAGCCTTCTTGGGTTCCAGAATTGGTTGGGGCAGTGAAGTTCAGCCTGTGTTTGCATGGGTTGAGGGAGATCCATGTCTGGAAAGTTCCCTTCAGTCTCTTGTGCTAATGCGCCTATAATCTGTTATGTGGATGAATCATTTCAGTTCTGAAATAGGAAATAGTGCGATAAAAATGTTCTTGTTAGTAGTAGCAGTAATACTGTGGTAGCACCTGTGGGCCCCAGCTGAGGTCTGAGCCCCATTGTGCAGGGTGCTGTACGAGCTCACAGTAAGAGTAAAGCAGTGGGGAAGCAGACTGCTACTGGCCATGTGGTTTGTCCCTGAGCCATCTTGCTAATGGACCATATGATGGCTCCAGTAGGTGCCATGTTGTGGGTACATCTTACTGTCCCTCCAAAACTAAGCAATGTGTGCCTCGTCCTAACAAGCATACATGTAGAAGATTGGATCTTGGCCATATCTTCCAACCAACACCTCACACCAAAACACTGCTCTTGGAACCATGTACTGCAGTCGGGCATGTAACATATTCCCCATCCCTGCCAACGGTCAACTACATTAGTTATTGATTCTGCTGTGCTGTTCTGTAGGTACATGGGAAGGAAGAAGCTCCTCCCAGGAGATTCAGGACATAGTCATAAAAAAAAAAGACCTTGATTTCAGCATGCATCTTTTTCTGAAAACTGTTGATATCAGATGAGACTGCAGTGATACATTGATTAATATACAGTATCTTTCATTCCCTTGCATACATACCTATTCAGATCCTTTGCATCTGCATAATTTACTTACAAACATTCAAATGGAGGGAAGGGAGAGGCAGCTGAAAATGAAAGGGAAACTTCTCTAACACAAAGAGGCAGACAAATATACATCAATCAAATATTAATGACTCAGAAGATGTCTCAGCCAATCCTGAATCATAAACAATTGCCAGAATCTCGTTGTGCAAGACACCAATGCTGCTATAATAGGCATTTCCCTCAGGTGGCTGGGTTTTTGTGATCAGGAAGAATTAATTATGCAGCCTCCTCCTTTTCTTGCTGGCTGAAAGTTTGACACACATTATCCTCTGTTGACATAATAATGATACTTGGTTGAGATTTAAAAATAAAGTTGTGTGGGAGTTTTAGCTCCTTATGAAAAAGACTTATAAAATGAGACTCTTTCCAGAGATGGGTGGATGTTTTCTTTTTTTTTATAGGGCACAATTTCTGCTCCACAAAATTCTATAGGATGGTTCAAAACTGTATCTCTTTTAATATTAAATTATGTAGGTATTTAGAGGCATTTGTCTAGAACCTCATTACATTTTATAGGACTTTTCTGGTTTCATTACTATTAACATCTATATTTTTCCATAAAGTAAGTGTACATTTCAGTCTTTTTGACAATCTTGATTAAATTATTAATTCAAAATATATTTGTATATAAGTTACCCATTGGCTGTATAGGCATTTCAGAGTTACAGGGGTACTGTAAGTCAGGGCATGTCAGTCTTTATCTAATATGTTCAGGTATCAGAAGTCACACTTGGCAACATTTAACTTGGAAATTTTACATCAAAAATAAATAAACTAATTCATCTCAAATGTCAGGATTCCAAGACTGCTGGCAGGGACATTGCATAAATGATGCATTATTTTCAATGGGGCTATGCAGTGTAGCTGTTATCTAGTGTTTTCCTTTATACGTTAAGCTTTTTGGGAAAAGACTTCAAAGGGAAAAATGCTGAATTCTGTTTTATTACATGATAAACTTCTAAATAATGGTGTTATAATAAAATAACCCATGCAAAATGGCATGACATTGATTGCAACAAAATAAGAAAAACCCAGCTCCCTTCAAAACAGGAGTTTCCACTTTTCCTTTTTAGAGCTCCATATCATACATTAATGAAGCATATATTCCTGTTAAAATTATGCATTGATTTAGTATATACAAGCAACATCAACTTATTATAAAGTCCAGATACATTGTATTTTAGTTAAGGAATTTAATTAAGCAAAAAATAGAAATCCATCTAAAAATTATGTGCTTTAACTAAAATTGGTCCAAAGTATATTGGCAGTGCTGGTGGGGGTAGCGGAGTGGAGAGAGAAAGATAAAAGCACTGTCAAAATCTTTGCCAGTTTGTGATTATACATTTTGCTCTCTGTCATTGCAGCGCTTGTTTATACTACTGTCGAACAAAATCCTGCCCTTAGTCTAGCAGCTGGGAGGGTACCAGTACTTTGCTGACTGGATATCTGGAACATCATCGCTAGGCAAGATAGCAAGCAACAACACACTGTTGTGTGCTATTTAGTACTCCCTTGTGTAATTTACTCATGGATTCTATCATGAGAAGCATAGCAATAGTCAATTTATGTATGGATTTTGTCACTGGCTAGAATACCACTACCCATTTTTTGATCTATATCCCTTAGCCCTCATGCCGTGAGCTCTTGTAGAGGTGCTTTCCAACCTCAGGGGTCAGACACAATTCCTCTTCTGCATGACGGAGGGATACTTCTTCTGTACACAGATAAAACTTTCATTATGAGCTTCCTAAACCTGCCCCCCGCCCCCCCCACCCCACACACACCACCACCACCTGGTAGGTTTTAGTATAAAATTAAATTTATCCTGCATTTCCATTAAAAAGCCATTCTCCAGAGATGTGTACATCCAGAAATTAGCTTTGCCTCGGACTCTAGAATATAGGCATTCAGATCGACTGCAAAATACTTTTTTCACAATTATTTTTTTAAAAGTGTTTTTTTAAGGTGCAGGTGAGAACAAGACAAAGCCCTGATCCTGCAAGTATTTAAGACCATACACACTTTTCCTCATAGGAGTAGTCCTATTGACTTCTCTTAGACTACTCATGTGTGTAAGTGTTTGCAGGATTAGGGCCCATGTTTACTTCTTTTAACACATTTCTTTCCATTTTAATTCAAACCTGGATTTTTAAGGGCAAAATACAGGTTTTAAAGCCTCCTTCTCAATGTAAAATAATCCTATTTAAGTAACTTTTGCAATGTGTGTGTTTTATTAAATGTTCAGTTTAAAGATTGAGTTTTTATAATGTTTAAAATGTGTTTCCGTGTTAACATTGTGATTCCTTGGTGTTGTGGAATGATACGATATAATGAACTATCAGTTAGATAACACATGTTCTAAAAAGCTTCTTTATTTTTCAGCTAAGCATGTTCTCAAACACCTGAACGTAATCTCAAAATCATCTATATTTTGGGGCTAAACTTTTTAATCCTCTAAATTTCTAATCTCTACTTTCATTTGCACATAAGCAACTCCCCTTTAAATCAAGGGGAGTTACACATGTGTAGAATTTGGTTCGCAGGAAAACATTATAAGCTAAAGCAATTATATATTTAGGATCATGCTCCTACAGCAACTTATGTGCATACTTAATTTTAGGTACCTGATTAGTTGCATTGATTTAAAATTGGTTCCTTAGTGAGACCGGGGTTTCCTTTTTCTTTTTAGTCCAAGACTTCCTTAAATTGTTGGGAAAAAAATGTTATTTTCCGATAGAAACTATATTTACAAAATCTAATCTTTTCTTTGTTTTTAAGATACCCTTTTTAATGGCCTTGGGCTCGGTGCAGTCATTGGCCTAGGAGTAGCAGCCCTATTGTTAATCCTTGTTGTGACTGACGTCAGCTGCTTCTTCGTACGGCAATGTGGATTGCTAATGTGCATTACTAGGAGAATTTGTGGGAAAAAGAGTGGCTCCAGTGGAAAAAGTAAAGAACTAGAAGAAGGAAAAGCTGCATACCTGTGAGTATCAATAATATATCTTGGGAAAATGCTTAAAACAAAAATTTTGTCTGTCCAACACGTGTATATTACCTTGGTGTTAAGTTTGTGATATGACAAAAATCATACTTCACAAGTTATTTCTACTACATGGGACAATCAATGAATCTTGATGTTATCCTGATGTTTGCACTGTAAGGCAACAACGGTGGTATATCAGATGTATGGTAACTGATGGCAAATGTTGCTTTTTTTAAAGGATTTTAAGAGTCCCTGTTTTGGCTATTTAAACTATTCTGCCATAAGAAGGACAGTGTTCCTGAGTGAGTAATATGCACAGGAACACATGGGAACAGATGATAGAGCTATTGTGTCTCCACACACACTCTGCTCATCCTGGAGCTCCTAATGCAGTGACCTGTGATGCCAAAATTCTGACTCCTGTACATCCTCCGATATTGGTACCAATGACTAGCCCCAGGAAAAGAGACAAGGGCACACTGGCTTGTTGTGAAGTATATGAAGCAACATTCTATCTTAACAAGTAGAACTAATTCTAGACAAGCTGAACAGCTGCTACCACTGACGTTTCACATTATGCCTTTTGTGGGCATTTAAAAAAAATAGAAAGGAGAAAAGGTTAGATGTTATAAGAAGGACATGGTGGAACTATACATTAATACAAAGTGGGATTTTACTGTAATGGCTACAGCAAATACTTGCTAAAAATAAAATAAGTGACTAAGAAAAAAACGCATGCCGGCGGGGAAAAAAGCCATATTAATTGGAGGTATATGAAGGAACAGTTCATTTATGTGGAAGGAAATGTCCTTAAATGGTGAGAGATCCATGAGAGTTATGGAAGTCATCCATGTATGTCCTGGTCATATAAGTCAAGGTTACTTTGTGTTCCCAATTTTTACAGTTTCCAAAGCATTTGAAGGAGATAATACCCATAACTTGCCTTCCTCCCATTTTTGAAATGTTTTCCTCCCTTGAATTTTAGATCTGAAAACATTCCTTCTCACCTATGTCCACCTAGCATAATTGAGTAGACATGTAACAAATTCTACAAGTATACTATCTTTATGTGGCTTACAATAAGAGACAGTAATAGCACCGCTTTTTCTATGAATAACACCAAATCTTCAGATTCAATAGATAGAACATCTAAAGACAGAACAGAGCTCTGATTTAGCAATTCATCCCTATTCTGCAAAGCTCTTAGGCTTGGGGATAAGTACTTGGCTAAATGGGGATGGATTAAAGTATGTGCTTAGGTAATTTACTGAATCAGGACCTTAATGTGCTGAAGATTCAGATGTCACGGATAAGCATTTTATATCTAAGTAGCAAATCCAGATTCATTTTGATCAGTCAATATCTGATTTACCAACAATATGCAGCTTCCAGAAAATACAAAGCTGACCAGTAAGCCCATATAAAAGAGATTTCTGCTAGGATTTCTTCAAGACACTTTTCTGGTAGGCGTGATGTCTTATTTATTTACATTTCTTTTTCTCTTGGGATGGTCTTGTGAGATGCAAATCTTGTCTTGTTGTCTTATGATCCCCAGTCTACATCCTTATTTCAGCATGTTTCAACACATCATATATAGTGTAATGCAGGACAATCTAAAATTTCCAGACAATCTTGAGCAGTCTCAATTTTCTTTTATTTCACATCAACTAGGCATCTTAAAATAAGACATTGGATCTTTGCATATTTTTCAGTGGGGCAGGTATTTTTTTTTTAATTATGTTTGATTTCTGAGAAATGTATTGCCAAGAACTATGTTCCATATGTATTGATTGTAGAAATATAGCCCATGCAGAATTTACTAGGCAACTAAGATAGAACTAAAGTAAGGTGTTTCCTGCAACCTGTATTTTTTTCTGCATAGTGTATATACATTATTTCTTTATAAATGAAGAGAACATTCTACATGCATTCTGCTTTCTAATAAAATCATATTTTCTAGGATTTGGATATATAATTTTTTTCATTGGGAATAAGATTCTAAATATATAGGATAAAATCAGTAGAAATTATAAGACCCTTCATCCATCTCATTATGATCCATAATTGTTGCATGTACTTGAAGTAGGCCTCATTCTAACGTGTGCCTATATGAAAAGGTTGGCAGTTAGATAGCTCCTAATTAGCACTCAAATGTATCCTAAATTGATCACTTCCAGTTGATACCTTAAAAAATAAACGTTTGACTAATTTAAATGCATTGCAAATTGAATGTCATTTTCACAAGTATATGAACACTGGTTAAGCATCATTTTTACAGAATGCAAAGGGCTGTTGAGTATTATTGTAACACAGAGATCCCTAGCTGGTCAATATGGTCTACACTTTTTCTACACTCCGATTTCCTGTCTCTCTAGCAGTCTGCATAGCTGATAGGAAAGAAGGACTCTTTCTGAGACTATCTAGTCACTAAGTGTTAGTTAGAGCTCTCTATCCGTATTGCAGATAGATAGATAAGAGCATATGTAAAGTCTCTGTGTAAGAATTATATTACATTTTTTGGCAACAATATAGAAATATAAGATATGAGGTAAGCTAAGACATATCCCTTGTCATGGGACCCAGGCTAAGCTCAGGGAGCTAGCAACCAGGCTGATTTCTGGACTGCAACAGGTCTAGAAATCAGATTGCTAAAGATGAGGGATTCCCCACTTATATGTCAGTTGTCCTGGGTTTTCTGCATTCAAATGATTACAGTTCCTAGGAACCTGATTCAGGATGTGATCTCAAGGAGAGGAAAGGGATGTTTGTTCTTTCAGTATTGGAAGATCACAACATTTTTGGGTACACAATGATTTGCGCTTCTAACATAGAAAATTTTATTAGTTACTAATTAGCATTATTTTCTGTATTGCTGTAGCGATTCAATGCTCTGGCCCAGATTTGGGCCACATTGTGTTGGACACTGTTAGAGTGCATAGCGAGCAACCACCCCTGCTCACAAATTGCTTAGAATTCATTGTCTGATTTTATGGGGGGAGGGAGGGAATCAGTAGTTTAAGGGTGGGGAGTCTTCATCTGTTCATAAACAAGGGAAGTGTAAGATAGATAGATAGATATATTTCAAATTGATTTAAATGTTTGGTGGGAGCTATTCAGGTCTGATGAGTAAGGGCCAGATTTTCATTTTGCACTAAGCCTTCTTTACATTGCTACAGCAGTAGAGAGAAGCCATAAAATGCCCATAGCTTTATATTTATACCCACTTTAAGGCTCAGTACCCTGCCAGAGTGTTGTAAAGGGGCCATAGTGCAAATAACAATCAAGCCCTATGTTTTACTTATTGCTTCTGCTGAGGTCAGTAAAGGTTTTTTGCCAGCGAGAAGCTGTCCATTTATTATGTACTCATAAACAAATGCTCTTTTGAGATTTTATGGTACGCATACGTGCTTTTAGGCCAGATAAGCAGCTGCAGCGACTGAATGCTTTGAAGGTTGTAAGAAATCAGGAGCAAAACTGTTGAATGTGTTCCAGTGTTAATCATTGCTAATTGGTTTTGCTTTTTCTTCAGTGACTTTTTGAAAGGAGGGATCATGGTAATTAATAAAGTGTAATGCATTCTGATACCATAATGATGGAGGTTAAGACTCTTTTAATATTTTTTTAGGAAAGATGGATCAAAAGAGCCAATAGTGGAAATGAGAACAGAGGATGAAAGAATTACCAATCATGAAGACGGGAGTCCAGTAAATGAGCCAAATGAAACAACACCACTCACAGAACCTGAGTATGTAGCCTGGTATTTCTAACAGCTTTTCACTAACTATGCACTGCCTGATTAGAATGAATAGACTTTCAGCTATGTGCAAGAAAAAAAAGAAGCACGGATAGCATTGTGGGATATGTTGGTACGCTCTGTTTATCAGTGTATTTTGTTTTAGCAGCGACCGTTTCAGGAAGGAGTGAGCATCTCCATCCCTTTACCACTCACTTGCCTAACTCACAGCACAACATAAGTTGTGCGTTGTCCAGCCCTTCCCTGCTGCTGTGAGATGGGAGGTGGCAGTGGTAATTTCAGACCCCTGCCTTTCTTTTCATTGCTTCTGGCATTGAGGGTGGAAAGAACTAGGAAAATTGCATGCCACATTCCCTTTCCTGTTACCCCGTGGTCCTAGAGATACACTCCAAATGAATGCTGTCCTGCCCAAGCTGCATCCTAATGCTGCTTCTGTGCCCTCTGTGAATGTAGGTCTTCTCTGTTTATCCCCATCATCTCACCCCACATATAGTCTACAGTTGTGTAACTTGGAGCCCAGCTGCCTGTGCAAGGCCATTTGGTATAGCTGGTGGAACTGTGCTCAGATATTGGCTCCTCTGCTGAGTTGCTCACTTCCCACCCCTCAGCTTTATTGCTGGAAGTTGCATGCTGAGGAGCAGCTGAAGGAGCTTTCCAGGATGGCTACAAGGACCTCACAGTCTGTGGTGGGTTCAAGAATCAAGGGGATGTCCCAGGGTTGCTGGCCCTTTGAAGGGGAAATGGGGCCTCAGTGCACCTGTGCCAAGATCCGCTCAGTTCCCCAGAAGGGTAGGTAGCAATGAATGAGTTAATTAAGTCAGGCCAGGTCTGGGGATGTAAGGGAGGAATAGAGACACATGGTGTAGTCTCTAGGGAAGGGAGCTGGAGTACGAGCCTAATATTTGAGCTAGGAGTGTTAGGCAGAACAAAAGCCTGGGGAGTTGTAGCTGCCTGGAAAAAAGCAGTGAGTGCTGCAGGGAGTAAGAATGGCTCCTGCAGGAAGTAAAAGGGTCTGTTTGATTATACGCTAGCTCTGGGGATGAGGACTAGGGACTCCTAATTCTAGGAGAGAGACTGAACCCAGCTCCAGGGAAGAAGATTAATGGGCTCCTGACTCAAAGAGAGAGGAGAGTGAGGAGTTTTAGTGAGAGTCAGAGGCTGGAGCAGGGAGAAGGTACAGACAGGCCTTGCATCTTCTCCAGTTGCTCAGAGAGCAGGACAAGATAGTCCCTTAGGGAGGAGGGGCTGGGCCCAGCTGGAGTCTGGGCAGAAGACACTTTATTTTGAATGTATTTGAACTCATATAAAGTAGAACTTCAGCAGGGTGCTTTTGTCTCATACCTTCTGGATTGTATGGAATTCTTTAAGGGGCCCTGCCCAGAAGGGGAAACTGAGGCAGGGCATTGCAGAGCTATGGTTTGCCAGCAGGAGGTTCTCTGGAGGCAATTGTCCCATTACAGGGGGGAAGAGCTATTGGCTCCATAGAATCCAAAAGTCTGAATTCTGATGGGCACCAGATTCTGGCCTCTGTTTTACCTATTATAGCCAATAGAGCAAATTCAGTGGAGCAGCACTGTTGCTATTACCATTTTAAATAATCTCTTCAAGATGTGTGTAGAGTGTGTGACTTGTTTTATGGTAGATCACAAATGAATGTGACACTATTCAAAGTCAGCCACTGAGTTTTCATTGTGATGAGTATTTGTGATGTGCATATCTTTTTCTTCTCTTGAAAATTGGGTTTACTTGTGAAAATTGACTGATATTTAAACAGCTAGAATGGCAGCATAATTACTGGTACTGGGGTCCTAACCATGTGAACCTAAGGAAGACAGATCAATTACTAAAGAAATTCATCCAGAAAGTAATGGCCCGTGAGTCTCAAAGATGGATTTATATTTATGGAAGAAGAGGCTGAGCCAAAGCCTCTGTGATCTTTGGGTGAATGAGAGCAAAAAAATCTCTCACTGCTGTGCAAAGACCCTTAAATAGTAAGTGGGTGTAGAGACAGAAACCAGCAAACTGTATATTTCTATAGAAAATAAAATAACTTTTGTAAAGGAAAGCAATTTCTTAATCGCTGTCTGTTTCTGAAAATACAGAAAAGGCTTCTTACTTGCCATCAAGTAGAACTGCAAAATGTAAGAGTCCCTACACAATCAGGGAAGATCCGGTGCTACTGACTGCCATTGATGTTTGTGGGGAAAAGCTAGGGGATTCTAATGAGAATTGATGTATGTTTCTTTTTTAAATAACCTGTCTGAAGAGTTCAAGCTTCAGTTAATAGGCCAACTATAAAAAAGAGTGTATAGTTGGCATTCAGCTGGATAACTTAACTGATATATTCAGCAATACTAGTTTATTGGTCCACTGCAATACAGATTAAATTTTTGGGGGGAAGAGATGAGATACTACAGTGAGGAGTGCTATAGAAAACCCATACCTATCTAGATAGTCCGTTTCTGTTGGGAATACATCAGTGAAAAGCTTTCAACAAAAAACAACTGCAGCAGAATTGATCACTGGATAATTCTGTGTTCCTGAACCGTGTTATGGCATAACTGTGTAACTATATAATATTACTGCAGTTGTTACTGTGATGAGCATTATAGAAATGCTTAAGATAGAACACAATTGATGGGACTTCATCAACGATATGCTGACAGTGTAAACTAATGTGGAGAGTACATACTGTTACACAAAAACAGTCATATAGGCTTAGTATACTGGGACGTACTAGCAGCCATTAATGACAGAAGAGCCAAATTGCAGAACATCCTGAAGACTACAGTAAAAATTGTTTGACTAGATCTTTGAGCCCAGCTGAGCTGCACTCTGCACAAAACTTGATGTGAAAGAGGCGAAGGTTACTTCATGCCCATCCCCGATTCTGGGATTGATTGGGAGCTGGTTTGGTCTCCAGCCCAAGTTAGAGCATCCGTAAGGCAGCTCTAACCTCCTCTGGCTGCAATGACCCCCAGTGGGTCATTTGGTAGCCTGGAATAGCTGTAGCAAAGGGACACTCTAGGCACAGCCCTGTCCTCTTGCCATTATCTCCTACACAAAAGGTGGGGTTCAAGAGAGTGGCATAGATCCAGCTGCACTGTACCAACCTGCCTGGAACTTGGAGGGAGGAGCACATATTGCAGGAGGGAATAGTTTAGAAGGGGAGTCCGTGCCCATGGCTAGGATGCTAGCTGCAGGTGCAATATCTCTGTAAATACTTCCCTTTATAAAGAGCTGTTTAGTTGTAGAAACATGGATTTCTCTCATATATTACACAGCACATGGTGTGTGAAACATAGTGGCAGTCAGTCTAATGAGACCCACAGCAAGTAAGAGAGTGATTGAGAGGTAAACAACGCAGTGTCTAGAAATAGAGCTAACAGGCAGCGTGGAGAGACTCAGGCCAGACTTGCATAAACATGTGGCAGCAGGAATTGTGTCTTTATACAGAGCTGACCATGAGGGACAAAGATGAGAAATGAAGGGAAAGCTGTTTTTACTTTCTCATTGCAGGGGTGGGGAGGAGAAGGATGGAGAGTTAGTACACAGTAAGCTGCACACTGACTGACCGTGTCGATCCTGCTACTGCGAAGTAAAAGTTTCATACTGTGCTTTGGTCTAGACCTGCCTCAAACAGGACTAGATCAAACAGGATAGATCTCAAACAGGAGTAGATCAAATCACACTAGGGAACTTTCAGTGTGCGGTACCAGGGTCCACACAGCCAGCTAGTGCACTGTAGACTTGTACCCTGGCTTGCTGTTCACTAACTCTCCATCTAGACTAGTGGTTCTAAACCAGGGGTATGTGTACCCCTGGGGTACACAGTGCTCTTCCAGGGGGTATACAACTCATCTAGATATTTGCCTAGTTTTACAACAGGCTACATAAAAAGCACTAGCAAAGTCAGTACAAACTAAAATTTCATAGACAATTGTTTATTTATACTTCTCTATATAGTATACATTGAAATGTAAGTACAATATTTATATTCCAATTGGTTTATTTTATAATTATATGGTAAAATGAGAAAGTAAGCAATGTTTCAGTAACAGTGTGCTGTGACAACTTTGTATTTTTATGTCTGATTTTGTAAGTATTTCAGTGAGGTGAAACTTGGGGGTACACAAGACCAGTCAGACTCTTGAAAGGGGTACAGCAGTTTGGAAAGGTTGAAAGCCACTGATCTAAACAAGCCCATTGCTGCAAAGAATAATGCCTGAAACACTGGGACAGCTGATAAAGGTGTCTTGAGTACTCTGATCCCAGACAGAATGAAACTGTGAAGAGAAATTGTTTGAGATTATTACTCCAGTTTCTGAGAAATGGATTGTCTGGAGGACTAGAACTCTGAAAGGTGCATTTTGTAAGGTAGAGCATACCTCACACTCGCCCCAGACACCATGCCTTATAATGCAGCAGAATTCAAATGATTCAGCACCAAATGGGAATTTGAGCACAAGAGGTCTTCCCCCGAGTACCCACAAACCAATAGGAAAGCAGAGTCAGCAAGAAAGACAACCAAGAGCCTGATAGCAAAGGCAAAGAGGCAGGAAGGGATCCATACCTGGCAATGTTGGATCATTGAAATACACAGTTCCAGGGACTACATAATAGCCAAGCACAGATGCGAATGGGTTGGAGAATCAAGTCCTCTGCCAACAGCAGTAACACAAACCAGTGGGAGACTGGTTTGAAAACCAGCCAACTTAAAGGACTATGAAGCCTAACAGGCTGCAATGGACTGGCAGTAAAGCACATGTCCCTAGCGTGGGTTCTGTACTAATAACCTCTGGTCCAAGAAAATCAGCACATGCTTGCACAAAAGCACAACAACAAATCTTAAAGAAAAAATGTAGCAACTTACATGGAGCTTGAAGGAAGGAGCCCAGGTTGTAGAAAGGAAGAGTTTGGAGGAACCACCTGGAACTCAGTCAGTCATGGCTATAATGCTAGATTCAGTTACAATATCCCTGTAAATAGTTATCTCAGTAAAGAGCCAGTTTAATTTTAGAAACATGCAGTCCTTTCATATTATTACCCATTACAAAACACATGAAATATGCACCAGCCCTATGCTAACTTGGTATTTCCTAATCCTCAGGTAGTCAGCTAATCAGGGTTTCCAACCACTTTGTGATTACAGACCAGCACAAAGCAATCATAGTGGCGTCCAGGATAAAAGTGTTTAATGCTAGGCAGTTCAAAGTCTAGTGTATAGTGATGGAGGAGGCTCAGATTACACTCTTCTCTATACACAAGTACCCTGGTTATCAAGAAGGAAAGTGTTGCAAATAGAGTTTGAGCTGCACAAAGGAATCAAAGTCTTGTTCTAGTTAAATCACTTTATAGAAGGGCAAAAGCTAGTTGTCGAAGCCAGAGTACTTGGCAGATGTTTTCTCCTGAATGATCTTAATATAAGTATGCAGGGCAAATGCTTCACAATTTTTGACTGGGTGGAGGGGAAATAATAACATTTAAACCTTGTGGGGAGAATGGGCTGAGAATCACAACCTAGTTTCATTCTGTCTTGAAACCATTTTTTCCAAAGATTATAAAGATGTAATTTGTCATCTCCAAAAGAAATCCTAATTGAATATTGAACCAAGATGAAATTAAAATTTGCAGAGTACTTTGTACACAGTGAGAGGGATAAGAAAGGTTTGAGCACAGTTAGCATTGAGACACCCTTTGCCTTGGATATTGCAGATCCTGATATCCTCATGGGATTTGAGATCAAATTTATTGAATTTAATATGTGATACCAGCAGTAAAAACCCAGTTGCACTGTCTTCCATTGGTTGATTTTGGAGTTGTGCCAGGGTTGACCTCTCTCACTAATAAGGCAAGGAACTACTTACTTCCACACACAATCATATGTCTTTGTGAGCTAGTATTGTCATCAGTCACATGAAAAGTTATTAAGCCATGGTATTTCAATAGGTTTGGGATTGAAAATAGACCACATATGACTCTTAGTTCAGTTATGCCCCACCAGGATAGCGAAATAGCAATGGCCATACTAGGTCAAACCAATGGTCCATCTAGCCCAGTATCGTGTCTTCTGACAGTTACCAGCGCCAGATGTTTCAGAGGGAATGAACAGAACAGGGCAATTATTGAGTGAAACATCACCTGTTGTCTGGTCCCAGCTTCTTGCAGTCAGAGGATTAGGGATAGACAGAGCTTGGGGTTGCAGCCCTGAGCATCTTGGCTAATAGTCATTGATGAACCTTGCCTCCATGAACTTACCTAATTCTTTTTTAAACCAAATTGTACTTTTGGCTTTCACAATATTCCCTGGCAATGAGTTCCACAGGTTGACTGTGTGTTGTGTGAAGAAGTACTTTCTTTTCTTTGTTTTAAATCTGCTGCCTATTAATTTCATCCGGTGACCCCTGGTTCTTGTGTTATGTGAAGGGGTAAATAACACTTCCTTATTAACTTTCTCTGCACCCATCATGATTTTATTGACTTCTATCATATCCCCCCTTTGTTGTCTCTTTTCCAAGCTGAACAGTCCCACTCTTTTAAATCTCTCCTCATAGGGAAGCTGTTCCATATCCCTAATAATTTTTGTTGCCCTGATCTGTACTTTTTTCCAGTTCTAATATATCTTTTTTGAGATGGGGTGACTAGAACTGCATGCAATATTCAATATCGTGTATGTGTTTATCTATATACATTGGCATTATGGTATTTACTGTCTTATTATCTATCCTATTCATAATGGTTCGTAACATTCTGTTAGCATTTTTTACTGCCAATACACATTGAGCGGGTGTTTTCAGAGAACTATCTACAGTGACTCCAAGATCTCTTTCTTGAATGGTAACAGCTAATTTAGACACCATCTTTCTGTAGCTATTGTTGGTATTTATGTTTTATGTGCATTACTTAGCATTTATCATCACTGAATTTCTTCTGCCATTTTGCTGCCCAGTCACCTAGTTTTGTGTGACCCCTTTATAACTCTTCACAGTTAGCTTTGGACTTAACTGTCTTGAGCAATTTTGTATCATCTGCAAACTTTGCCACCTCACTGTTGAATCCATTTTCCAGATCATTTATGATTATGTTAAACAGCACAGGTCCTAGTACGGATCTTTGGGAGACCCACTACTTACCTCTCTACACTGTGAAAACTGACTATTTATTCCTACCCTTTGTTTCCTGTCTTTTAACCAGTTACTGATCCATGAGAGGACCTTTCCTCTTATCCCATGGCTGCTTACTTTGCTTAAGAGCCTTTGATGAGGGATCTTTATAAAGGCTTTCTGAAATATTCAAAAATAAGCAAGAGCAAACTTCTCTCTAATTCAAGAACTAACTAATTAAATGTTACAATTGTAGTTACTTTGTGAAAAGTGAAGTGAAGATTTTTTTATATAAATGCAATAACACATGCAACATGACCATTTTTGTATATTAATAATATTGGAAGAGTTCTAATATAATTTGTCATACCAATGGGTCATTTCTGATGCATGGATTACAGTCCTGAAATAGTTGAAAACGATTAATACCTTGGGAATTACACAGTTAAGGCCTGATCCAAAGCCCAATGAAGTAAATGAGTCTTTTTATGACTGTTACGCAGGTAGCATTATTTAGTTACCTTAGGAAACTGAAAAACTATCACAGATAGCCATGATAGTCTTTTTGTCATTACAATAGGTTGCAAACCTAGAAAAAAAGTTAATGATTGCTTTGCAAGTAAAAGCATTTGAATTCCAATGGGAAAAATATTAATTCTGGAAACTACAACTTAACATTTGAAAGTAATTTAAGGCATACAGGAAAACTCCAAACCAACAAAAATTTTTGCATGCACTTAAAATAAAATTAAACATTGTCAATATCTTGTGAGATTTTATTTTGTTATTAAATTGATTACAACTGGAGTTGTGGATTTTTAAAGTATATATCAAACCTAAAAAACAAGCTTGTGAAGATGTTGAATCAAAGAAGGGATTCTTTAGATTTGTCAAGTGTTCTATGTTTCTTTCTTTCTCCTTTGTAATTAAAGCCATTCTATAATCTTCTCAGACCGATCTTTAAAAACATGGATATCTGAGTTCATTTCCGTACATTCATGGGGGTCACAGGAACTTTTCTATTTGAAATAGTTTGCAATTGTTAGTGACATACTCCAAGTCTACTACTCGTGCATAATCAGTTTCTATTTAATATCTCACCTAATCTACCTGTCTCTTGCCCAATCACTTGTGTGTTGAGGCATTTCCTTTCCTTCAGCTTCTCAAAAATTATTTTAGATCTTCATCTTCAAACTCACAAATCCCCTCCTTGTCTTGTCTTTGTTGTATTTCAGGTAATTTGTGTTCATATTTTAACCTTTTGATAAATTGTTTTTTCCTTGTTCATTTCAGCAAGTCTAAATTTCATAAAACCAGGGATTGGGGGATTAGTTTGTCTTTATTGATATTAGATACTGTGATTATAAGGTTTTCCGAATAGGTTCTTCAAACAGGCTTTGAACATTACCTTGATGCTCCTAGAAGAATGCAATCTAAACTAAAGGATTTAGCAATTTTCTTGAATAAAATCAGATGTCTCATGTTCTCCATTTAAAAATATTCTTCAAAACAGAACCGTGATTTGCAACCAATATGCTTGCAACCACCAGCAGCCCCCCTATCAGAACCCTCCCCCCCAGTGCCTCCTGCCCGCCAGCGAGCCCTGCCGATCAGTGCCGCCTCCTCCTCCCTCCCTGCTGCAATCAGCTGTTTTGCAGCATGCAAGAGGTTCTGGGGGGGGAGGGAGAGGAGTGAGGACGCAATGCGCTCAGGGGAGGGAGCGGAATGATCGTGGAAGAGGTGGGGCGGGGGCGGGACGGGGTGGGAAGAGGAGTGGGTGGGGCCTTGGTGGAGGGCATGGAGTGGGGGCGGGGTCTGCGGTAGAGCTGGGGGCGAGCACCCTCCTGGCACATTGTAAAGTCGGTGCCTGTGCCAACCTGCACTAGCTACCTGCATTGCAGTGCGTTGTAGGGAGCAGACTCCACAATTTTAGCCCTTAGAGGCTTTATATGAATGGATACTGCACTTACATTTTCTTTAAAAAACAGTTCGGTGCTTATAATATAGTTCTTTATATGTATATAACTATACATATAACAGAAATAACTGTTCTTTAAAAAAACAGTTTGGTTCATTATTTTAAGTGAATCATAGCTTTTTCTCATTTTTCTCACAGGAAACTGCCACTAAAAGAAGAAAATGGGAAAGAAGCTTTAAATCCAGAAACTATAGAAATCAAAGTTTCTAATGATATCATCCAGTCAAAAGAAGATGATAGCAAAGCATAAAAAGATGACTACAGCTGTCCAAAAAAAGTATTTGGATTGGAGTAACCCCGTGACCAAAACTCTACAGCTGACCTTAATTTCTTGGGCAATTTAAGCTTGGAATAGTTAGTACACGTGTACATATGATCAAACAACTTCTGTCTACAGTACCTCTCTATTTTGTTTTGTTAATGTTTTAGTATGTAGTCCTGGCTGACCACAGTCCCTTGGTATCAGTTTGAATCTGCAGAAAAAGTACTGTAATTTATTATATTACAAAGGTGATCTATTTATAAAACCACTTTTACCAAGCTACCCCCAGCCACAGACAATACAACAAATAGCTCCACATCCTACAATGCAAGCTAAATACATGAAAGAAAGTGCCATATACTCCTGTATTTGTTTCCATTGGTAATAGAGCAAAAGATTTAGGTGGCCTTTAAAAGAAGAAGGGGGAAAAAAAATCAATCTCAGTATGAAACTTGAGACAGAGGGCTGGCAAAGGTTGAATAGCCACCGCGGCTGTGTTTTGCCATTTGACAGAAAATAGAAAGACTGACTATTAGATGGTGACAGACCTGCACATTGGTTTTAAAATATAGTACAAGGTTAATAAACATGATGTACAGATTTAAAACAAAAATGGTTGAATATTTTGCAGAAAAAAAATGGTCTTGTCTGAACTATATGAGTGTTTGACTTTGAAAGGCAACTAGATTTTCAGATATTCTGTGTTAATGTTTGGGAGATCGTGTGTGAACTAAAATGTGGAAACATGTTTTTTTGTGTGAAAAGAAAACTGATTTATGATAATAGCTTTTGGCTTCAAGTGAAATCTTAAAATAAACATGAGCTCAAATTAGTTGCCTCCATGTACTTATAGATATATATCATTCCTTCTTAGTTTTAACCACCTAGTCAAGGAATAAAGTGTTGCATTTCAGTATAACAAAGGAGTTGTTCACCCCAACCCAGTAGGCATGTTGTTAAACAGTTGTCCTTAACACAGCACTTGTTTTGTAGCATAGAAATAATAATTGCATATCCTTTGTATTATAAAAAAAAAACATATCAAGAAAGGAGGAAGAGAAGAACTTTGACTAAATGGTTAAGAACATTATCAAATGATTAAATTTGCAGTATCCAATAGTCTAAATATTTTAAGCTGCATAGTCTCCAAGACAATCACTTTTACTTATGCTGGGTGTGATAGCTATAAACTATTGTGATCAAATAATCTACTTCCTTTGGTGAAAAAATAATTGTCCTCTATTGACAATTGATTTTACATTATTACTAATTGGAGGAATAACATTTTGTGCCCAGTCCAGCCCTCAGTATCCATCATCTTCTATAATAATCAAGCCTTGACTTTGGAAAAGGCAGACATAGCAAATGACCACTAACTAAAATATCTACTCTTCAGGGGCAAGTTGTGGATCATCCCATGGTAGAACTGCTCCATAACTGAATGCAGACCTGTTATATGAAAGTTTAACTCTACTCAATGGAGTGACACCCACATCTAAATTTGGTTCATAGTCATAGTATGCAACTTTTAATTGATATGGGGTTATCATGGCCAGGCAGATGACTTTGTGGTCAACTTGGATTAAAAAAAAAATGTGGGAAATTACCTGTAAGTTGGGAGAATGATTATTTAGCCTCCCTACTGGTCTAATCACTAATGTGTTTAGTGGAGCTCCTGCTGCAGATGTGTTGAAATTCATGGCCCCTGGCTTCCTTTCCTTGGGTTGCTTCTAAAATTGACACATTAGTCAAGAAGAACCCAACAATTTTGAAAAAAAAATTCTTTAAAATCCTTCTTGGCCATCACTTAGGGAAGAATGCACAATGAGTCAAGATGTCAGGGCAGATGGTTGATATGGTTGGGGAAATATGTTAAAACAGAATCATGAGACAAGAATGGGGTAGTGGAGGTAGCACTGGAATATGGAGGCTGTGAAAGATGATCTATGATTCTGCTGCAAGTCCGTCACTTATAATGTTCAGCCAATGCCTCTGGGTCAAGGTAAGCTGAAGAGATGGCTCCTCAGAAGCCTGCCTTGTTGCTCTCATGCACTGAGCAGGTAGCAGCACAATCAGCCTGCTAATTTTCTCCTTCGTTTCTTTCTGGAACTGAGTAGTCACTGAGAATCCTTAGTAAAGTGAATGGGGCTGGCCCCTAGTCTGTAATTGACAGAGCCACTCCCCATACAGAATACGTACTTCTCCCACTGGCAAAAATGCTCAGAGCCAGAGTCCTTTTCAACTGATGCCCTTTTTTGTGTGAGTGTGTAACCAAGCAGTGTCCTGGACCGTTCAGATAGCTTGAGGTAAAGGGAGGGGAAACACAAGGTTCGAGCAATTGTAGGAGAATAGGCTGGTGGGGCTCAAGCATCGAGGGCTGGGGCAGGGAGGAAAATAGTCAGTTAATCCTCTTGGTGGGACATCATCTGTGTATTCCACCTTCTCTACTGTCACCTTCCCCAACAGTAGTTTATCCAAGCTCATCAAGGAAGTAGGGAACTCCATTCCCTTCGTGCTTCTGCCATTAGAGTGCCAGATCCCGTCACTCTTACTCATGCTAAGTAAAACCTCACTATGCAAATAATTCAGTGTGAAACCAGTGGGCTGATTCACACAACAAGGTACCTTTGCACTGTAAGCAAGGGTGGCAGAATCCAGGCCAGACTATAGTTGCATGCCAAGCGGTTATTTCCCCCTGAATCTTGTAAGTGGCTTCTGTAGCTGCAAAGCCCCAGACATTTCCTTGGTCCTTCATCTGTGGAGACAAATTTTGCTTGGATATGGATCTAAATTGGGGGGAGAGAAGTAAGGAGGGAAAAATAAGTGCAAAGGGATCTGAAAATCTAAAAGGCCTATACAGCATGTTTATTATTACTATGATTGTACAACTCTTTAAAAGTAAAAAAAAAAAAAAAACCCTACAAATATATTTTGTTATTCAATATATTAATGGGAGCAAAAGCATGTCTGAGTACACTACATTACACAACTGGTATTCCCAGAAGTATTTATTTTTCCTGAAATTATTTCTCTTGCCCGGGGTGCTGTGTGATGGTCTGAGAATCAGATGGAGCTAAATTAGTGATAGACTATTCCAAGTGTACTCTTCGATTTGAAGATTAATAGGTTTTCTCTTGCTCTTGTCACTGATGCCATGCAGGAGAAATGCAAAATTATAACTGTTTTTTTTACATTATGAAAGAATGAGTTGAAATATCTCTCTTTACTAATGTTTCCAAACGAGGGACAGCTTGTAGTTTAAATTGTAAGATATGTGTAGAACTGGAATAACAGCCTTTCTTTGTTTTTCTTTCTTATTATAGACTGAAAACATATCTGTATAAATGTCACTTTTACTGTCTGAAAGTAATTTTAAGTGTTAGTATGAAATGTCAGAAGAGTTGACTGAATATAACTATTGGTAAAAGTAACCTGAATCGTTACACTGCTTTAGTTTGGGGAAGGAGGCCAAGAAGTCATTTAAATTTTTGACAGTTCTTGGCAGGTTACATGAAACATGGCAAAGACAATCTCTATTCAACAACAGAAAAAGAGAAAAAGACTTAAAACTGCTTAGATTTTTTTTTAAGTAGGAGATTCATTTTGATTTAACACAATATTTTTTTAAAAAATTATTTGCAATTAAATTTTTGCAATTTATTCTAAAAATATATTATGGAGAGTATTTTTGTTGTCCCTTCCCTCTTGCCCCCAGTAATTTATTGTTTTTCGTGGGGCCCCCAGAAATATTTACTATTCTCTTGATGCTAATGCCTGATGTGACAAAGCTTAATTTATTTAGGCCCTAACCTTGCAAGCTATTTTGCAGGGTGGGCAGAGCCTCCACCCATGCAGCACCTCATTGACTTCAGTGGGGATGTGCATAGGCAGAAGGTTCTACTTGCTTGGAACAGTTTGTGGGATCAGGGTCTAGTTTTTATCTTCTTCATAGATATGTAGAACTTTAGCATACAATGACAGTCATGTAGACAGGCTGTTTTGACAACAGTTCATAGCATAGTAAATTCCACTTGACATCTTCAATCTTTGAACTGATGTTTATCTGAAAAGTGGCTTTCTTTTCATGATGGTAATGAAATCGATCGAGTCCTTATTCATTTAAGTGCCAATCATTGAACTGTAGTATTACGATCATGTTATTTTTTCCGTTTCTTAGAGCAGATAATCAAGATGTATTTGTGCCTTTGAATAGCATGCCACTCTGCTTTATTAAAAAAAACAACAGCAAAAAACTTCTTCAATAATTTACCTACTAATCCTGTTTAGAAGATGTGAAATCTTTACATCATTTCCTCCTCAGAAATGTAAAATATATCTAAGTTAAGCTGGCAATCATATTTTTCAATTCACTTTAATATTTAAAACCCCAAACCTGTAAAAGATTTGGAGAGGTAGCACTTTTGTTCCAATTTCCGGGAGCCATTGTTAAATGCTTTTGCAGTAGGTAGAGAATGGTGTGTTCAGGATTTAGGTAGGGAAAGCCATTGTCTTGCGTGGGGGTACTTGGACCCGCTTTTTTTTGAGATTCATCTAGGGATCCTCCACACTGTTATTAGTCCTCCCATTCCCTCTAAAATGTTCACGACCACTTTCGGGTCTGAAAGGAACCCTGGAATCTCTTCCCACCATTTTACTTTGAGTAAAATCTTTGTGAATGTTACCTTGCAGAAATATTCATGGCTTCACTGTCTCTGTTATAGCTGTCCCTGGAACTAACTTATTTATTTAGAGTATTTGCTACAGGTATTGGGTGAAATTCACTCCTGTGTAGAAAACCACCACGAGGCCTATGTACTATATATGCCCACAGACCCAAATATTGCAAGTTGACCTGGAGGGATGTGGAGGGGAATCCCTGTGTAGAAACCCATTGAGTGAAATTGTGGCTTTATTGAAGTTAATGATAAAAATCCAATTGACTTCAGTGGGGGTCAGGATTTTATCTATTGACTTCAATGGGTTCCACA